TCGGGCAGCATAGACAGACAGCGCCAATGGCGTCTTAATGGACCATTGACAATTATAAGGCTAGTAAATCCCGTCGCCATGGGATATGCCATGCGGAGGGCAGGAAAAACAAACATCGTATTGTCATGTGCACAAGTCGGATAGTTCAAGTTGCCAGCAGACTGAGCTGGAGACAATGCTGCGTGGGCGTGGGACGTGGAGCGTGGAAGATGGAACATGGAACGTGGGTCAGTGTCATGTGCTGACAGCTGGTGCGATCCCGATTGCAAATTATTCAATTAAAATCGTACTATTACGAGTATTAAACTCGATGCGACAACTGTCAGACACACGCACACCCACACGCATTCACACACACGCACACGCACTCGCAATCAATGTCAACACACAGACACTTGCAGCTGACTCTAAGGGAATTTGCACATTTATTCAGCAGAATAAATGTGTATGTGTGTGCGTCCTTGGCTAGAGCCGTTATACGGCCGGCGTCCATCGTCCTAGCCTTAGTAAGACACACATAAATGTCAGCTACAAGATTTGATAGCCCCGGGTTAAGACTAAGCACTAAGCGTATGCGTGTCAAAGCTCTAGGCGAAGGGGCGTAAGTGTGTATCCATCTCTCTCTCTCTCTCTCGCCCTTTCTCACTCTATCTCTATTTCCCTCTTTGTATGTGTATCTGTGCATGTTTGTGTAGTTAAGTGTAGAAGCAGTTAGTTGCCTCAACTCAAGTCCTCATCGCAGGAGAGCTTGCTATAAAATGTACCAAAGTTAACCCAACAATGAAAATTGTTCTCAATTACGGAAATTCGCTGCTGAACTTTTATTTTATACTTTGGGGAAGAGAACAGTACTTAGACTAAGTCTGCTTAATTTTACATTATGCATTTTCTAATATACATAAATATATGTATATTTATCTAATGAAAAACTGTGCAAATTAAACCAATAATTATTACTTAAATGTTACTACTAAGTTCAGAATACACTCCAGATATAAATAATAGGATAATAGGATAAACAATAAGATATCCTCTTCTATATCTTAGTGAACAGTAAAAGCTCTAGTCCCAATTCGAGGCTCTGTATTGTAACAAGAAATTAAATCAAACTCAGCTGCACTCCCTGACATATTTGTCAGAATACTTCATACTTCCGGTATCGCTTCACTTATTTCGAATTTTTAGATTGAAATTATCCCCGACTACATATAAACACCTCGAGTCAAATCAACTTCTCTTTAAAAATATCTAAGGTATGCCTTAGTCGAGCACTCTCGCTACTCTAATTTTGTATAACTTAAAATTTGGTTTTAGCAGAGTTTTCCCGTTCCATCTCCATCTCCCTCTCTCTCTCTCTCTCTTCTGCATGTACTTTACACAGCCACTACAAATTAGGCAGCGTGCAACAAGAACACGTAACATAAATACCACAGAGTGTTCACTTAATAGGGGCTGCCCCATGTTGCACCTGCTCCGCTCTGTGGCTGATATTGCCCCATCTGACAGCGTTTTAAGAGGTTCACATGTGGCTGCCACAGAGAGGACTGTTTGTTGCCCCCGAAATGAACTTTTGCATAGAACGTTTAGCTGCGGCGCCAGTTGCAGCTGTGCCCCATGGGCACTAAGTGGCGCACAGCCTCGCTCGCTGGGCCCGGCTGCCCGCTCAAGTGTTGGCCGGCCCACATCCAAGTCGGCCCTGCCCACACCTGTCTGTGTCCTTCTGCCCGCTGAGTGCTGATATCGTATGTGTGGGGCGGCGGCTCTTAACTTGGCCTTCGCTTCAAATTTTATGGCTTAAGTTGAAAAGAACATTTTGTGAGCTGGTCCTTCGTTTTGGCCTGAATGCCAGTGTCGCGTGTACCGTAATCGATATTCGTGGGTTTGTTTGCTCCTCCCTGCTCCGGGAGCTGCGTGTCTGTGTGCTGTTTATTAGCTACCCATTGACCATCTACCGGTAAATTCAATATCTTTTATTTGCACAATTTTCCAGTTGCTCGCCCGCTGTCCGCCGGCGTCGGCTCCATTTAAACTTACGTAATGTTTGCATTAATGTTTTTTCTTCTTCTTATTTTCCTTCAATAGTTAGAAAACTCTCTGCCTGCCTCTGTACCTGAAATTCGATTTGCACGCTCTCTGGCCTGAGCCACAGACTCGTGTATATGTATGTAAGCAACCGCAATTCCATTCACACTTTGTCGCTGGGCGGTGTGAAAAATACGGCTTAACAGTACATTTACTCAAGAATTTATGTGTTTATAAACAGAATGTGAGCGGGTGTGGGTGTAGGTGTGTGTGTGCGTATTTGTGACCAGCAACCATCTCTGAATGGCTCACCATGTGCTGAATGCTCTGCTGGAATGCGTACAATGCGCTCAGAGCTGCCATATATTATTCAATTTGCGCCACAGACGACTGAAACTCGCTGGTTTATCCGAACAAAGTCGGTCTTATGTACCGAAATGCTATGTAAATTTAATGCAAACAATGCATACGGAATACACGTTGAGCAGAGCAGAGCTGCCTCTGCGAGCGTCGTTCGAGAGTTTCACATTCGATTTCAATGGCATCAGAAACGATTCTGCAACAGCGTAAACTAAGCGCATTAAAACTAATATTTGCATAGTTATTCATACTAATGCTCGTATATAGAACTATAATTGATTGGAGTTTAAATTTGGTATAAATAATCTAAAATTTTGTTTAGTATTATCCGGTATGATTTGTCCGATTACCATGAAATTCTTCACATATTATCCACATGGCATTTTAATAAATATACATATGAAATATGACTAAATTTTGCGAATTTTTCAAAAATTAAAAATTTTATATAATCATTAAAATTGTATATAAAATACATAAAATGATGTGCAACATGTGGAGATTCAGAGAATTTCGAGATATAATTTAATAACTGATGACTAATTGAAATATACTTAATCTACTGATCTTAACTGAACTTATTACTCATATCAGACGAACTATATAAATCAAATCAGCTCTTAACACTTATCAAAAGTATATATACTTCATTTGACATGTTCATCTACATGTTACAAACATTTGAACTAGCCATATATACTCTAAATTTATATCTGCATTGCATGCAGAGTATGCAAATTTATGGATTATATATATTTGATTTGAAGAGCATTTAATCTCCACTCTAAACATTTGTTTATCAGTATGCGCTCTAGATTAAACTATCAATATTAAATATTGCACCAAAAATGTTTGCATTTCCACCTGCATAATGTCACCGCATAACATTTTCACGGCTGACAGACGGCGTGGTTTGTTCTAAATTTCATTGGATGTGGCTGCAATCTTTGCATGAAATATGCAAATTGTCATCCTTATTTCGCCGCTGTAATGCTTAAACTATTTGCATATGTTGTTGGGTTAATCTAGCTGTACGTCGGGTGCGTGCCAACAAATTGATATTATCGGTTTTTATTTTCGACACGGCACCCAGCATTTGCTTAAGCGACTTTTATCTATTCGCATTTGGTTGCGGCATCAATTATTGAAATACTCGCTGTACACGCTGCAGTGCCAGCCAGCGGTTGTCCCTGTTAACCTTCCCCTCCATTGAAAGCATTTAATTTGCAATTGCAGTGCGCTAAACGCGGATGGGGCGGGCGCAGAGAGCGTTGCACATCGTTGAGTGTGGGGCATGCAATTTATGCGAAATCACGTATTCCATGACATAAAAAACTATAAATAATGCAGCAGCCGAAATGCATTTGGGGTTGAGTGGGCGGCTGTGTGTGCGCGAGTGTGTGTGTGTGTCTAGATATATTGCATGTGCTATGGATATGTGAAAATACATAAAAATGCAATATAATGGAAAGACTTGCAAGCCCCAAAGACATTTCTCTGCTAATGTCCAGTTATCGACGAAAGTGTGTGGCAGTGCGTGTGTGTGTGAATGTGTGGGTGTATAAAAAATGTATTGGATGGGACTCAATGTCATCGACTGCTGTCACTCCGAGCACACTTCAATTATATATATATATATGTGTGTGTGCATACGCCCACACACAGACACTTTGACCCGTTGCTCTGAGGCCTGTGCTAATCTTTTTTATGGTTCGCTCCGCCCCAAGTTCTAGCCTTGGTCTGACGAGTTACTTCCTCGCACTCGACTCTGGGTTACCGAGATTCAATAAAAGATATTTTTGAATTGCTGCCAACGTCAATGGCAACAGCAACAGCAACAGCAACGACAACGGCAATGCCAACAGCAATGGCAACGGCTGTAGGCCACGAATATCTGTTTGGTACTTCAATTTTATACAGCATTTTCGGCAAGGCTGGTAGTTGTTAGCTGAGCTCGAGCTGAGCTGAGTGGCACTTCGCTGCGAGTTTATTAGGTTCATCAAATGCTGTCAGCAGTCAGCATATGTGACTTTATTTGGGTCGTACCCATCACAACCAAGTGGCCAACCACGCCCACCAAGTGGCCCAGCCTATAGTTAACCAACAACAAGAACAACAACAACAACTACAACAACAACAAACCATCAGATAAACATCAACCATATTGTTGTTTTGACCTTGACGCAAAGTGTTTGATACCCGCTCTGATTTGGGGCCGAAATACTTTAGTTTACTCGCCGGGAAAATTTTCAATCATAATACTATTTATTGAGTTTGACTAAAATGGAGTCTGAGGTTAAGGGATTGAAGAAAATGCAGCTTAAGGGATATACATTTATCTCAAAGTTGGATGGGATTTTCTTTTTGGGGATCAGGCAAGGGCTAAAAAATTCATATGGAATCTTGAAACACAGACTAACGGAATTTCAAGGGTATAAAATAATAAAAATGTTAAGATTTTCCAGCTTACTCGTAGGTATTCAATAAATCAAGTTTATTTTCATGACTCAACTGAATTAGGTATTATAAAATAAAAATGCAAAGTTTTAAATTCCAACCACAAATAGACTCCATATGAATTTAAATTTAATCATATTTCTTTCTCGGCCTTTTTGCAGCCCCTTCGGAAAGTGAGAGTAACTCGAGCTGAAAGCCACTTGTGGGAATTGGGGTAAGTGCGGCATTTTTTGGCTATGAATTATTTGATTTGTGAAAAACTCAACTGTGTAGAAATTTGACTTTAGATTAGGCGATAAAAATGCGCATTAAGCTGTCTGGAAGAGATAAGTTCATATGAATTTATTGACATTTGTATGCTGACTGCTGGTCAGCTCTCTGGGGCTACATTTTGGCTACCCTATCCAATAGATATACATATATATATATTTTTTATTCTTTTTTTTTTTTTTTTGTATTGGCCACCAAGTGGGCAGTCAGGCATGAAAAGGCCAACATCCGCTGCGGCTAATGTGCTGTCATTTGTATTTTGGGTGTTTGACTGGATTTTTGTACCTTTGTGGCATATCAGAGCGAACGAGGGCAAAAAAATACATAAATAAATGAGCTACGTGCTGGGGATTTTCAATCGATTGTCGGGCTTTTCTTTTGTCATAATCAATCCAGGGCCAATGATTTATGCAAACAAATTTCGGGCTTTCAGCGAACACGAAAATAGTGAAAATGAAATAAAAAGGAGAAGAAAAACAGTATTGAATTTAAATCAAAGCTGTCACTGTCTGCAGAGCGTTTTAGCCCTTGTGGTTGCGCTTAAAAAAATTTGTATAATCATACCCTGTAAACTTCCTGTTCGTTGGGGTAGATAAGAATGTGGAACTGTGGCAATGTACTTGGATGATAGATGATAAATGACATGATCTATAATATAGATGAGTTTAGTAGTTGATGAATACAAATCTCTGGTCCACTCCTGACTCTCACAGGGCAGCAATGAGCAGAGACCTTTCCGCTTGCAGCTCTCTAATTGTTGTTGTTGGTGTGTTGTTGTTTTGGCTGCTGCTTTGTTGTGGTCAGACAACGTTATTTTGGTCAATTATTCAAACCAAAGCGAGTGCTGCCGTTTGCCCGGCGGTTGCGGTTACAGCAACCGGAGAGGACTCAGATGGCCGAGGCCGGTGTGGGTACGGGGTATGTCGCACTGTGGAACAGCCAGGCAGCGAACGATAACATTTAAATGGCTTCCAGCACAAGTGGCACACGGATGGCCTGTGACGCTTCATGTGCTCGCAATGGGCATAAGACCGAGTGAACGTGTAAAAAGTGTTGCTCGCTTGGCAGCCAGTGGCTCCTCAACAGGTTTTGCGAATTGCGCTCCCTTCAAGCCGGCTCAAGCCAGTTCATTATGCGATTCGGGTTTGTTTACACAGGTTCTTCATTCATTTGATGTGTATGTGCCTGTCTATGTGTGCGTGTCCTGTAGCTGTTTACAAAGGTGTCGGTCATGCAGACGGTCGATGGTCAGTCGACTGCAGACCGCAGTAGACAAGCTAGTCGCATCCTGTGACCGCATCCTGTCGCCGGCAGCCCGCCTGTTTGCCTGTCAGCCGCCTGCCCGTCGCCTGCCCGTCGCCTGCCCGTATCCTGTCAAATGTACTTTGCAGCTTCAGCTGTAGAGCCGGACCTTCCTTTCCATCCTCTCGACAGCAGCTCCTAGCTGCCATTGTTCACTGATGACGCGCCTCAGCATTCATATGACTTTTATGGCCGGCTCTAGGGTAAGGCATTTTGACGCCAGGACGAAGCCGTGTCAGCCATCCAAGCTGGCTAACGAAGCATAAACTAAGCGCTCTTTTAATGTTACTGCAAGTGTGCTGTGTCCTGTGTCCTATGTCTGTGTGCAAGTTCAAAAGAAATCAAGCGTAATGAAGCCCACAAGCAGCCCGAGCAGCCCAAGCAGCCCAAGCAGTCCCAGTCGCACTTATTCAGCAAAATTGCAAAGCTGGCACAAGTTCATGTTTATGTTCTCATTCGCATGCCAAGGCTCTTGAATGCATTGTTGTTGTGCTTGGAGGAAACTGAAGCAGATGATAATGGATGCGCGTGCACTGCTTGCTGGTCGACAACTACTCAGCCGAGGTCGAGACTTGCCAATTGGGTGCTTCAGCATGGGTAAATGAGCTACGCCAAGTAATCCACTCGATGTCCAATTAGCGCCCGGCTATTCGGCCTCAAGCGCTTTTCGACTCTTTATTAGCGCGCACAAAGCCAGTCGAGGGTCGAATTAAAGAGATTTTCCGTTTCTAATTGATTTTTGAATGGCACTGCTGAGATGCCAGCAAAGGGTTAGACAGAGGAAAAGTTCGTTAAATAAGGGGCGCCAGATGGTAAACTTTGCTCTATCTAAATACTAACAAATGGAGATTAAAAGAACTCTGTTTACGAAATTAAATTAGGCGAATTAAAGGTATTTCATAGCACAACAAATAAATATTCATTTTAATTAATATGCATATAAAGTCCATGCCACATGGCTCTCAGCATTTGTTAATTGTTACCTTTGGTACAAATGGCACTAGCAATGTTTACATATGGCTGCGCACCTGAGTCGTTAAATGAAAGTACCACAGGGCGAATGCTTATTATTATTATCATTCTCATTATCATTATTATTGTTGTTGCTGTTGTTGATGTGTGCATTATTGCGGTACAACAGAGAGGATAAAAAAAGCAACAATAGCATTAAAAATCAACGTCTAATTGCCATTAAAATATGTAAAAGACAACAATCATTTGAACCAGATCGAGCACCTGAACCAGAGAACCAAGAACCAGTCGCTGAACAAAAACAGGGAAAATCAAAAGCAAGACATAAAATGGCTGCAGGAAATGATGTGACGTGACGCGCGGCTTTTGTTTATGTTGTCTGTTGTTCTTGCTGTTGTTGTTCTTCTTCTTCTGGCTCTTTAGCTGCTGCCCTTTACGGCGCACAACAGCGACAACCACAATAACAACAATAAGAACAAACCCTTATAGCAATAACAAAATAACTTTCACAACAAAGGTAGGCAGAAGCAGGAGAAATAAGAGTGAGAGAGAGAGAGAGAGACGATTCGCCATTGCCCTTTGTTTGCTTTCTCTTTCTTTTTAGTGTGTTTTTTATGAAATCTTACATTATTGTGCTTGTGGCACGTTCCGCAGCGCTGTCCTCACAGAGTGTATGTCCTGTGACTGACTGCTTATTAAAATACAGCTCAAGGCAGTTTAAATATCTATATGTGCTGCCCGAATGCAAAATGTGGACCTCTATAGATAACTTTTCCGATATGCAAATTGTTTCAACTGCAGCTTAACTATGATAAAAAGCTGAACGAGCCGAAAAAAAATCAAATTTCTATTCAGATTACATATCTAGTTAATAGCAAGCTCTTAAAAGTTTTATAGCCAGCGCTCCTTACAGCTGATTAAACTGCAAAACTAATATGTTATTATTGAGTTCATTTTAACTTATTTAAATCCCATTAATAACATTTTAACCAACCTAAAAAAAAAAAAAAAAAAAAAAAAATTTTTAGCCTAAAAATTTAAAAAAAAAAAAAAAAAAAAAAAAACATTTTTAGCCTAACAATTTAAATATAAAAAAAAATCACATAAATAAACATATAAAATAATATATTAATTATTATATAAAATATCATATTTCATCGATGCATTTCAGTTCATATTATTATCAATATTATTATTATTTGTTAGTTGTTTATTGCTCTACTAGCTTAGTTCTATTATAGCTCACTGACTCAACGAATTTATATGCATTATGGATTATGAATCATGACATCAGTTTCATAATCTTAAGCATTGAAATTATCATTATAAAAATTGTTATCAGCTCAGAGTGCACATTGAACCGGCTAGGTAACAAAATATTATCAAATTCTTTGATTTCTCAATGGATGTTTGTTTTGATTTTCGATGAGCTCATTTTAGTTGAGCTGAAAACAAAGTCAAAACAAACGCATAAACATTTATGCGCTGCCTTAAAGTATTTGCCAGCGGCATTCCATTGCTCTCTCTCTCTCTCAAACGTCTGCCAAGAGCGCGTGGCCAAGTGTCTTTTGGCCATTAAATAAGTATATTTGCGCACATTTTGATGCCTTTGTGGCATTACGTTAACAAGTAGATGGCTTACATCTAATGCCTTTTGCACATTTGCAAGACACACACACACACACATACCTATATACAATCGACTAACCACACTTGTTTTTTTGGGTCAATTTCAATAAAGCACTCGACGTATTCGATTGATTTTCATACGCACTCGAAATAAATTTGTGCAATTTTTGCCTGTGTGCGACACTTTTTAGGCGTAATCAAAGCGATTTAAAAACAATTACACTTCTGACATTAATGGCGCATGCTTTTGATGCCGACGGCAATAACAAGAGCAAAATCAAGTCAGTTTCACTACAAGTGATCTATGGAAAAATACCCTGTGGATGGATGATTGAGGCAGCTAGAATTTTATTTATATGCACTGATCAGGACTTTCTCTAAGCCTTTGCCAGTTATTTCAGTTACTTTATATTACGAGCTTAGTTTACAGGGTATTTCTCTATGAAACTCCTTAGCAAAGTTTTCATGTAAACCTTTTCGCACATTTTTCGCGCACTCGCTCACTCACCCGCAGAGAGAGAGAGAGAGGGAGCTAAATAATCGCATCTGTTGTTGGCAGCCGCAGAAACTTTCATTTGTTTACACGGGCCTCGCTGCCTGCCGCCCGGATAACCACATCAAAAATAACGCGAAAGAAAGAAAGAAACGAACAGACCCGAACAACAAAGCATAAAAAATGCTTAAATTGATTTTGAAAAATTTGTAAATAAACAAAATGCTGTATAGTCCAGAGTATTTACTTAGCGTAAAATAAATTTACTTTAATTTTCTTCTTATATTTTTGCTTTATTTTAATTTAAAAATTTGCCTAAATGGCAGCTGTCTTAAAGCCGTGCCGAGTGCTGAGCACTGAGCACGTCGAGGTGCTGGCTAATGGTCGGCTTTATTAACATGATTGCCACGCCCACACACACACACACACATGCACAGGAGCAAGACAGCGGGTATGAGAGAAGAAAGCTTATCAATGAATCACCAAAGCATGTGATTGATGATTTGATGTGACGAGTGTGCATGTGTGTGTGTTGGTGGGTGTGGCAG